TATATCACGTGACAATACTTCCTGGTTACATTTCGGTCAACAGACTGTTATAACATTGTATAACAATTACACATAGGACTTGCAGTATTTGTTGTGAAATATTTTGGTTGACAATTGAGTCTAAAAGTAAGTATTTAACAGTTATTAAAGTACTTTACTAATTGTCATACATGAATGTTATAATTAAATTAGTACTTTCGTTTTCTGACGGAAGAAAAATATATCACTTAGGTCTAATGAAGCAGTTTTAGTTTGCAGATGTGTTTTGCATATTTGTGTTTTTATAATTTTGTTTTTTTTATTAATAAAAGTATACAGGGGTTCTCTTTTTAATGAAAATGAACAATTAAATGGCATCAGACCATATCAATCAAAGGGAAATAACAATATTTCGTCCTTTGTCAAAACATGGATAGTACCGTGGTGGACTAATTTATCACGTGACGGTACTAAATGATAACACTACTGTCATCAGGCTGTTATAAAACTTGTAAAAAGTTTCTAAAGTATTTTATGGTTGACATGCTGAGTCGCAAAGTAGGTATTTGTCGATTATCTAACTTTTCAAAAAAAGCTATTATTAAATTTGTACTTTCGTTTTCTGAAGATATAACATAATATACCTCTCCGATCTAGTGAATTACCGTAAAATCAAAAATTATTGAGTGTTCTTTATTGACAAATGGACAAAAATGCAAAATTAATTATTACGATTTGAGGAAATTCAGAAGATTCAGAAAGCGATTTCTTGATAAAGCGATAAACACCAAGATGCATTGTGCGTTTTAGTAAAAACTTCAGAACACTTTGTGAATTTACAAAAGCAGTTTAAGTGGCATGGATGTCTTAAAGTTATTTGTGTCGAAGGTTTCCGATTTCTTTTTTTTTAAATAGACTGCAATTATCTTTTTATTCGAAAAAGAAGATGAAACAAAATGGATAGTATTCAATAATATGAAACCACCATTCTTGTTTTCCAATTTATTTAGATTTAATGTCTCTCGTTCTCCTTGGATCAAAACATCAAAAATGTGGGAGGATATGTTTTAATTTAACACTATAAGGTATTGGGAATTATGGATACAGAACATTCTTTTTGTCATCTGCTTGACCACAATATTGTTTTCATCAAATATGGGATAAGAAAATTTTTTTTAGGAAAAAAACATTGTCATAACCCACCCACCCAACTCATTTACTGATCAAAACTGTTTGTTTTTTGGGATAAGATTGAGAGTTTTTTTTATTTGTAATTATTTATCGAATATTCTATCCGTTCAACTTCACCTCGAGAAACAAAATAAAACTACAACTTATCTCAAACCAAGACATTTATAAACGATTTATATTAATTGCTTGTACAGATAGCTCTTGGTTTATCATTTTCAATATATAATTAAATTATCATCTCAATAAGTAAAATGTAAAGTTATCTAGTTAATTGTACCTTTAAAGGTCTGTTTTTAATTATTTGCTCTGTTGTGATGTATGTTTACATCATTTTGATTGCTGCAACCAGATTATTATCACATTTACCTATTAAGATAGTTGGGTTGCTCATCCAATTTTCAGTAAGACGGAACTTTAAACAAGTGAAACCTTATTTTTACTTTGCTGGATAGTTATATCGTTGGCAACCATACCTCATCTCCTTATCTTTAAAAAAAATTATAAAAAACAACTGTCACACCAGCAGGATGTTTAGCTAGCTTCAAAAATAAGGTTTAACCCACCATTTCCTTCGGACAATGCCTGCACCAAGTCAGGAATATGAGAGTTGATTTTCACTTGTCCTATTGATGGTTAATGTTTGATTTAGTCAGTTTTTATAGACTTTCTCTTTTTGAAATTACTTTGGAGTTCGGTATTTTGTTATATTCTTTTATACTAACAAACAATCAATTAAATTGCTTCATATATTTTATAAAACGTTCTACTTATCAAAACTCTGGTTCTCTCGCCACCAACATTCAGCGTGTGTTTTTGTTTAAAATGCTACAACTGTATATACCGTCATATACGTACTTTTATAAATTGTGGCTAGCCTAATATTAAGGAACCATATAGAATATAGAGGGTAATGAGTAAATTTACTTCTTTATAGATAAAGAAAATACACATATAAGTGAAGACAGCATGATGCCATTTGATGTCTTTCGATTATTTTCATCGTTGGGCGGCTGTCTAAATGACATATAGCCCACGTCTCCTTTTATCTATGTTTGTGTAAAATTTGATGAGGTGTTTTAACAGTTTGTTTCACGTGTTAAGTTCCTAAACATCCCTTCACGAATTTCAATTTTTTTTGGTTTTGAACTCTTCGGACGCAAAAAAAAATTATAAGGTGTCATTTTAGTTTTCTTACCATCTTGTATTCATATGAAGATATGGTAGGCGAAAACAAGTATTGTTTCTGGTTGTCAAATTGACCATCATAAATACCCCGTCTTTTGTCAGTGCAAATAAATTATTAAATTTTTTATATTAAATCTTGATCTGTTTTTTCACACTTTTTTATTAATAAGTTGATCCGACTTCAGCTCACCTGGCTCGACATTCAAATGCAAGTATTCGCAATCAGTTGTTTTCAGTCGTCCATCCATGATCTGTGTGTAAGCTTTAATACGTATAATGTTAATGGTTGAAGTATAGCTTTGAAATAAAAAAGAATATGTAGCAGTAACATGGTGTAACACCTTACCATTGTAAGATGCATACATCGTTCTGTAAAAAATTGTCAGATTTAAAATCTAAGATTCTTATTCTCACCCTTAAAAATATCAACAATTACATATAAAGGTGAATTTTACGGCTGGCTTTTTTCCATTTTTCTCAACATTCCCACAATATATAACAAGAACAAAATATATCATTCCACTGTAAATATTTGATTGGTTGAGATTATCCGAAGTAACATGACAAAAATACATCATACTTCCCTCTGAACACCATATTTAACTCTGCCGGGCAAGAGGTAAAGCCTTGTTTTTCTAATATATTTGTGTTTCCCTTGCCTTCGGTAGATATGAAGCTTTATCCAAGAAAATTGTTTTTTTTTTCCGGGGCAATCTTTTTTTTATGGTAAATTAAATTTGACAAGGACATTAATGTTTAATTCCACTACTAGTTACGTTTATTTAACAAAATAAGCAACAAGGACCATAAAACAATTTACCCCATTAAATAAGATTAAATCATGCATTTTCTTGCCAGCTAACCGATTCAGGCTTTACGAGGCATCTAGTTATACTTTTACAATGTCATTTCAGAGTTGTCTGCAATCTATAAGGAGTGTAAACGTTGTGCTTGTCTTTTTAGTGTACAGTTAAATCAGATAATCGCTTATCTTCAAATCATACTACTGTGGATTCATTTATTTTCTTGGGTACCAATTTCCGTGGATTAAGGAAAACATACATCTTCGTGGATATTTATATACGTGGTTTTGACGAAGTCTGCATACACGCCTATAGAAAATTTGTTATTCGTTGAATATTTAACTTCGTAAATCACCTATATCCACTAATTCTACGAAAATTGGTATCCAACGAATAATAATGAATCCACAGTATTTGTGAATAAATAAATAATTAGTTCCGGATCATCCGGACAATTACTATTTTCAAATCAAGATTCGGAAACACAGCTTATATTTTCTTGGACTGAACATTTTATTATGTAATTTTTCGGAATAAATATAAAAGTTATGAAAAAGTAAATTAAAGTGTCTTTTGTTTTTCAGTTTCATATGGCGTCATCCGTACCGATATGCGATATTTGTATGACAGATAACATAACAAAATCTGCCTCTGTTTGGTGTGAAGAATGTGAAGAAGCCATATGTAATGAATGCGAAAGACAACATGGCCGCATGGGTTTGTTAAAGAACCATAAAACAATACCTATAAAAGATTACCAGAAACTGCCTAGTTCTGTTGCTGCAATCAAACAGAAATGCATGCGTCACAGTTTAAAATTCGACTTCTATTGTGTAATTCACAACGAACCATGCTGTGTGTCTTGCATTGCAGAGAAACATGGCACCTGTCAAAAATTGAAGCCATTATCAGAAGTAGTGGGAGGAGTAAAGTCGTCTGCTGCATTTGCAGATTTAGAAGATAGGACAAAAGATATCAGCGCACTTATTGGCAATCTGATAACTGAGAAAAAAAATAATCGAGCATCTTTAGGAGTTCAGAAGGATAAAATCATTTCTGAAGTGCAAAATATCCGAGCAGCAATAAATAATCATTTAGTTAAACTAGAAAAAGATCTTTTGGATAAATTGGACAACACGGAGAAAAAACAGAACGGAAATATTGATATTTTTATTAAAAAAATCTCAGAAATGCGCAGAAAAGTAGAAAACATAAGTGTTGATTTGGAAAAAACTAAGCAACACGCGTCAAATTTCCAAGCTTTCGTTTGTATACATGAATGGAATAAAAGAATTGAGATAGAAGAAAAAGATTGGATGTCCTTACAAACCAACCAGATAATGAACCATTGTGATATTAACATAACATGTTCACCGATACTTATGAAGTTCGAGAAAGACGTCGCAGAATTAGGGAGGATAGAAGTTAAATTTTTGTCCTCAAAGAAAATTCTTCTTAAGAAGGAGAAACAGGGACAGATTTTCGTTCCTATTCCTAACACTGTAGATAACATTAAATTGACAAATATCCGCTCTTTCCACACACCAGACGGAGCATCCAGCAACACGATTATAACAGGAATCGATATGTTCGAAGACGGGAGAATTGTGCTAGCTGATGACGAACCTTCAAACAATAGACTTGTTATCATGAATCAAGAAGGCGAGTATATCAAAACAATACCACTTAAGGACACATGTTATGATGTTGCAGTGATAGATAAAGACATTGTTGCTACAACATTAGTTGAAAAGAGGAAATTTGTTTTTATTAATGTAAACTCATCAATAGTGCAACGGACTATATCTACGAAACACAAGTGCTACGGTGTTATTAGTACAGGTGAACAATTGGTCGTCAGTCTCTACAACAATACCATTCAGTTCTTTGATCTTTATGGTAATTCCTTGTCAACTTTGTCAACAACCGATATCTCCGTTCATTGTTCAGTTTTGAATGACAAACTTTTTTATACCACACATAATAGTGATGCTGTCTTCTCGACTAATTTTAAAGGTGAAGTTTGTTGGCAATTTGACTGTAAGAAATCAGCTTGGCCGACTGGTATAGCTAACGATGGGTCTGGAAATATATTCGTAGCTTGCAGGGATGTTCATCAAGTTATGGTATTAAGAAAGGATGAGAAGAAATCTAGAATTCTCTTGACGAAAAAAGACGGATTGGAAAAACCCGGAGCCTTACATTTCAATCGTAAAACTAACACCCTTTTTGTGTGTAATGAATCCGGACAATGCTTTCTATACAAAGTTACAAACTGAATTAGTTTAGTTCATATCGCGGAAAAAAATACGTTTGTAGAAAATTGTCAGTGAACAATTGCTGTCCTTATGACATACTGTTATATTGGAAGTATTTTCCTAATCACTAAGTAGAATTACTTGGTAAATAGTAAGTCATTGAACCAGATTAGATGTCCTTGATTTGAAATATATATAAGCCTGTGTTATACTCTTGTTGAAATTTTTGTTATCTTATATTTTTTTCATATATTTTCAATGAAAAATTTAAATATTTAGTTATCTTATTCCTAAAGAAAAGTACCAACAAGAGAAAGTGGACACATTGTTTTTCATTAGTTAAACATACTTGACGCAAAACTTATGGTTATTTGGTTCTCGAAGATAACAAAATTTGTATGTGTTTCTTTTTGTAGTTTGCAGTTTCACGGAATCAATTCTGAAAATATTAATAAAGTATTCCTGGTAATTTTTATACGACCGCAAAAATTGAAAATTTTTTGGTCGTATATTGGTATGACGTCGTCGTCGTCGTCGTCGTCGTCGTCGTCGTCGTCGTCGTCTGGCGTCGTCCGGCGTCGTCCGAAGACACATTGGTTTTCGCACTCTAACTTTAGTTTAAGTAAATGGATCTCCATGAAATTTTACCATAAGGTTCAATACCACGAAAGGAGGGTAAGGATTGATTTTGGGGGTTATGGTACCAACAGTTAAGGAATTAGGGGCCAAAAAGGGGCCAAAAATAAGCCTTTTTGTAACTTCCAGACAATAACTTGTGTGTAAGTGTATGGATCTCTCTGACATTGTACCACAAGGTTCCATATCACAAAGGGAAGGCTGTAATTGATTTTGGGGGTAATTGCCTCAAAATTTTAGGAATTAGGGGCCAAAAAAGGGGCAAAAAACAAGCATTTTTCTAGTTTCATGACAATAACTTGTGTGTAAGTGTTTGGATATTTCTGAAATTGTACTACAAGGTTCCATATCACAAAGGGAAAGCTGGAATTGAGTTTGGGGGTAATTGCCCGAAACGTTTAGGAATTGGGGGCCAAAAAGAGGCCAAAAATAAGCATTTTTCTAGTTTCCAGACAATAACTTGTGTTCAAGTGTATGGATCTCTCTGAAATTGTACTGCAAGGTACCATACCACAAAGGGAAGGCTGGGATTGAGTTTGGGGGTGATGAATCATAAGGGGGTTCAAAAAATTTGGGGGGGGGGGGGGATTTTTTTTTTCTTTTTTTTTCTTTTTTTCCTTTTTTTTTTCTTTTAAAATTTTCCATTCTAAGTTGGTTATTTCTGATTAATATTTAAAAGCAAATAATAATGATATGGTAGGAGATACACACCAAACAGGATGTGTAAATTATTATATAATAAGTATTGTGCAATAGCAAGAAATTTTCAATTGCACAGTATTGCACAATTGCAAGAAATCTTCAATTGCACAGTATTGTGCAATAGCAAGAAATCTTCAATTGCACAGTATTGCGCAATAGCAAGAAATATCCAATAGCACAATATTGCGCAATAGCAAGAAATTGTCAATTGTACAGTATTGCACAATAGCAAGAAATATTCAATTGCACAGTATTGTGCAAAAGAAGATACTTCGTATAAATTGCTTATTTCTTGATCAATTTCAATGGGGTTTTATTCTTGAATTCTTGGGGTTCTTTAATATGCTGAATCTAACCGTGTATTAAGTTTTTGGATTTTGGGCCCCGTTTTTAAATTGGTCCACATTGAGGTCCAAAGGGTCCAAAATTTAACTTTGTTTGATTTCATCAAAAATTGAATTATTGGGGTTCTTTGATATGCCGAATCTAACCGTGTATTTAGATTCTTAATTTTTGGTTCCGTTTTCAAATTGGTCTACATTAAGGTCAAAAGGGTCCAAAATTAAACTTAGTTTGATTTTAACAAAAATTGAATTTTTAGGGTACTTTGATATGCTGAATCTAACCGTGTATTAAGTTTTTGGATTTTGGGCCCCGTTTTTAAATTGGTCCACATTGAGGTCCAAAGGGTCCAAAATTTAACTTTGTTTGATTTCATCAAAAATTGAATTATTGGGGTTCTTTGATATGCCGAATCTAACCGTGTATTTAGATTCTTAATTTTTGGTTCCGTTTTCAATTTGGTCTACATTAAGGTCAAAAGGGTCCAAAATTAAACTTAGTTTGATTTTAACAAAAATTGAATTTTTAGGGTACTTTGATATGCTGAATCTAAACATGTATTTAGATTTTTGATTATGGGCCCAGTTTTCAAGTTGGTCCAAATCGGGGTCCAAAATTAAACTTTGTTTGATTTCAACAAAAATTGAATATATGGGATTCTTTGATATGCTGAATCTAACCATGTATTTAGATTTTTGATTTTTGGGCCCCGTTATCAACTTTGTCCACATTGAGGTCAAAAGGGTCCAAAATTAAACTTTGTTTGATTTCATCAAAAATTGAATTCTTGGGGTTCTTTGATATGCTGAATCTAACCATGTATTTAGATTTTTTATTTGTGGACCCGCTATCAAATTGGTTCATATTGAGGTCAAAAGGGTCCAAAATTAAACTTTGTTTGATTTCATCAAAAATTGAATTATTGGGGTTCTTTGATATGCCAAATCTAACCGTGTATTAAGATTTTTAATTTTGGGTCCCGTTTTTAAATTGGTCTACATTAAGGTCCAAAGGGTCCAAAATTAAACTTAGTTTGATTTTAACAAAAATTGAATTCTTGGGGCTCTTTGATATGCTTAATCTAAACATGTGTTTAGATTTTTGATTATGGGCCCAGTTTTCAAGTTGGTCCAAGTTGGGGTCCAAAATTAAACTTTGTTTGATTTCAACAAAAATTGAATATATGGGGTTCTTTGATATGCTGAATCTAAACATGTATTTAGATTTTAGATTTTTGGCCCAGTTTTCAAGTTGGTCTAAATTGGGGTCCAAAATTAAACTTTGTTTGATTTCAACAAAAATTGAATATATGGGGTTCTTTGATATGCTGAATCTTACCATGTATTTAGATTTTTTATTTGTGGGCCCGCTATCGAATTGGTTCATATTGAGGTCAAAAGGGTCCAAAATTAAACTTTGTTTGATTTCATCAAAAATTTAATTATTGGGGTTCTTTGATATGCCAAATCTAACCGTGTATTTAGATTTTTAATTTTGGGTCCCGTTTTTTAAATTGGTCTACATTAAGGTCCAAAGGGTCCAAAATTAAACTTAGTTTGATTTTAACAAAAATTGAATTTTTGGGGTTCTTTGATATGCTGAATCTAAACATGTGTTTAGATTTTTGATTATGGGACCAGTTTTCAAGTTGGTCCAAGTTGGGGTCCAAAATTAAACTTTGTTTGATTTCAACAAAAATTGAATATATGGGGTTCTTTGATATGCTGAATCTAAACATATATTTAGAGTTTAGATTTTTGGCCCAGTTTTCAAGTTGGTCCAAATTGGGGTCCAAAATTAAACTTTGTTTGATTTCAACAAAAATTGAATATATGGGGTTCTTTGATATGCTGAATCTTACCATGTATTTAGATTTTTTATTTTGTGGGCCTGCTATCAAATTGGTTCATATTGAGGTCAAAAGGGTCCAAAATTAAACTTTGTTTGATTTCATCAAAAATTGAATTATTGGGGTTCTTTGATATGCCAAATCTAACCGTGTTTTTAGATTTTTAATTTTGGGTCCCGTTTTTTAAATTGGTCTACATTAAGGTCCAAAGGGTCCAAAATGAAACTTAGTTTGATTTTAACAAAAATTGAATTCTTGGGGTACTTTGATATGCTGAATCTAAACATGTGTTTAGATTTTTGATTATGGGACCAGTTTTCAAGTTGGTCCAAGTTGGGGTCCAAAATTAAACTTTGTTTGATTTCAACAAAAATTGAATATATGGGGTTCTTTGATATGCTGAATCTAACCATGTATTTTGATTTTGGACATTGGACCATAATAGGTAAATTAAAAAAATAGAAGTTTTAGACCACATTCTTTCTGTGTCAGAAACCTATGCTGTGTCAAATATTTAATCACAATCCAAATTCAGAGCTGTATCAAGCTTGAATGTTGTGTCCATACTTGCCCCAACTGTTCAGGGTTCGACCTCTGCGGTCGTATCAAGCTGCGCCCAGCGAAGCATTTTATTGTTATTGTTTTCGTTTTGTTTTGTTTTAGTTGTTTGATGTTTTTTTTCTCTCGTTGTTTTAATGTTGTTGTTGAGTGATTTGTGTTTAAACACTGCTAAATACTTTGCATTCTTGTGAAGCAGAAATTGAAATCAATTTAGTCATACCACTCTCATGCGCATACAGAAACCGCTTGTAAACAGTTTTACTTGAACAAAATAATTTTAGCCATCTTATACAGAAGGAGGAATATTTAATTATCCATGTTATAGCAACAGCTACATTGTAGTTCATTATCATTTAATCTCATTGAAATAACTATAAGGAAAGTACGGTCAAATGAAAAAAGTTAGTTCCCACTCAAAAAATGTCCTATCATTTCAACTAAAATCAGTACTTTTCAAAAAATAATTACTAAGCTACCAAGTAACTTGATGAGCGATTTTTATAAAATAGATACCATAGGATGTAGAAATGTCTGAAGTTTTATTGTTTATTTGGCCATTATTCTCATGAGGGTCGTTTTCATTTTCTGATGGGTTAAACACAAATGCAAATTTTTACGGTTTTGATTTGGTTAGAATACATAGCAAACTTTTCCAAAAATATATTTCTTTGTGTTCATCTTGTCAGAAAATTAAAATGAGTCTGAATAATATCATGGCCAAATAACTTGTGTCCACTAACTGTACATGCTGACATGTTTAGCCTCTGCTTTACCGATTATGATTGCATTTTATGTTGAAAGTCTTCATTATTATTGGAATAAATATTAAAATAATTGTATGACACGCATATGTATGGCCTATGAATGTCAAATATGATAGTCCGGCATTTATAACGATGACCTCTACTGACCAACCACGTCATTTTGTTTGACATGAGGTTCAAAACCTTGACCCGATCTTATAAAAAATTCTACCAGTTGTCTGCAGAAAAAAAAAATAGCGTATTTATTCTGTAATGAAAAATGTATAATACAATTCGATAAATTGATTACCAGATTTTTATAATTGATTTAAAAAAAAAAGATGTTCAACACAGTATCAATTGGTTCTGAAATCGTTCGCTGCACCCATGCGATAACATATTGGTATTTAGACTCGCAGTTGATATTGAAACAGTAACACTATGTAGTAAACACTATTTTGCTCTACCAACACAAGACCAAATGAACTATGTCACACAGAAATGTATACTGTTCAATCATTCTCAACGCAGATATATAGATCAACTGTTACACGTAGAAAGTCCCTCTCTATCTTTTCAACTCCTGAACAATATTCCATGATAACAATAAAGTCATTGTTGTGCTGCAAGATTAACGTCC